TTTTTTAATATTCCCCAAAACATTTATTTCTCTGGGAAGCTGGGTGGATGCTGACTTTCTACAATCCAAAATGAGATTACTCGGTCTCCCCCTCGCCCAAGTCAGAGGAGTTCTGTCTTACTACATATTGCAATAGAGAAAAAAATATATGCACCGCTGTCTGAACCCCTTTCCCATAACCGATTGCAGCATTCACACCCTTAAGATTAATCCAGTCAATGGGGGGCTTCCTTGGTAGCACAAAGCTTGCGGTCCCACATTGCTCAGTCGATCCAAAGCCATGTCCGGCGAGGAGCGGGAATGCAGCCGGAGCGTGGAGAGCAGCCGCGTAACTGACGGAAATATTACCCAGTATACGAAGCATCGTGAACCGCAGTCCCCGACACTATTAACATGCAACTAGCGTGGATTCGGGTACCGCCCTTCCCCCTCCGCATCGCGGGTCTCTTTTCCTTGGCGGAATTATCTTGGGAGTCGCTGCAATCAGCAAAGCTTTTAAGATGTTTCTGACAGTCTTGAGGGCGGGATGGAGGGAGAGAAAGGAGTTACACCTGGGGGAGGGGAATTATTTTTCTCCTTTATTGAGGATTATGGATCCATTTATTTCCAGCATCGGATCGGTGGTGCCACCATCCGTTGCCATGACGACACGAGGGAGCATGGCCCCCGCGGTTTACAATCCCCTCCCTTCCCCACCCAAGCGAACAGCCCCAGAAAAGCGGCTCCGGGACTTCTTTTTTCTTGCTTCAAAGCGTAGGCATTAATCTAGGAAAAGAAGCGAACACCCGCCCAGCACGCGCATCTCTCGCGCCCCGCCTCCCTTTGGTGTCCACGGCATATATACAAGCAAAGCGAAGTTCGCCGGGGCGGTTCCCCGCGGCGGAGAGATTCTTGAACGGGACTCGTTTCCGGCGGAGGGATCCAGGCGGGCTACGAGGGCTACCCATCTTGGCTCCTCTCGGGGAGGGGCGGGGGGAGGCGGCTCTGTAGCCGGCACCATGGACGAGGCCTACGACGTGATCGTGCTGGGCACCGGTTTGATCGTGAGTCCTTCGGAGCCACTTACCCTGCGCCTCTTCCTCTTTCCTCATCCCGGCATTTCCCACCCCTTGCTTCCGTCCGTGCAATTTTGCATTCCCGTTCCCTCCGGCTCCTGCATCCTTGTCGGTCATCAGCAGCCCTGCCAGGTTGTCGGGTGGGGTTGTAATCCTTGCATTGCCCTTATTAAGCAGCTCGGCCTTTCCGAAAGCTCCCCCCCCCCCGATAGTTTCTTAGGGATTGCAGCAGTGCTTTCCTAAATCCAGTACTCGGCGCCTCCACACACGCGCACACACTATCACGCGCGTAGATTATGCGGGAAGTGGGGGCTATTGTGCGCGTCTCCTTGCAGCCGCTGCACCCTCCTCTGCCCTTTTTCCTCAATGCATCTTACACCAGTACTCTTTCTGAATTGCAGTTGTTTTGTCCAGCCCTACATTTCGTCCCGTTCTCTACTCCACAGTGGATGGTGTTTTTGGTCCCATTGCATCTCCTCTGATGCAACCCGGCGCCATCAGCGCTTCTCGAAAGCGGAAAAACGCTAGGCACCAACTGCATGGATCCTTCATTTGTTTATTTAAATCCTTACGCATATTCGTCTTATTTCGTTTACCAAGTCATCTGTTAGGATCTCTAATTGCATCTTTAATATAGGCATTAAGTTAAGGGACCTGTTTATGTTGATTTTGTAAAAAGCTTCTCTTGCAGAATTATGTGATTATCTGGTCCATATATATCTCTAATAAAAGAGGAAGCAGGAACAGTATCACCGTGATTTCCAAGCTTTCTTTTGCCATTTCTGGTGGATCTGTTACACTTCCTGCTCCTGCATCTTATACCAATGGGAACAGGGATCCTGTCTCCCATCAATGCCCAAGATTGAAGGTTCTGCAGTGCAGGATTATGTGCATTTCAGGAGATGTGGGTTTATCACATTGAAACTCAAAACAATTCATCCTCCATGTACAATTTATTTAATATTGAGCTCTCTATATGTTTTCCCCCCACTCTGACTTTTGAAAATGCTACCGTAAATGCTTTATCTATTGAGTTTAATTAGCAGCCCCCCTTCAAATTTTTGACATATAGTACAGACATACAGAAATGGTTTCTTTTCCTACTATGTTTATTATATCAGTAATCCCCCTTTTCTCTCTTTTCTTATAAGACTCTTAATATTCTCATTACATCATTGGGTCTTTTTTCTGTAACCTGAATGCTTTGAATTGTCTGTATTGATAGAACCAAATCAGTTGTGGTCCTTTGGTAAGACCGGACAAAATTGGATATTTTTTTCTTTGAAACTCAGTATTGGACAGTTTTTCCTGCCTTCTACATTTGCTTTTTTTCATTTGAAAAAATGTGCACGTGTGGGGCAGCGTTGTACGACTGTTCTGCAGTCTTAAAAGATTTTGTGTTCTCTCTCTTCCTTTTGCCAAAATACGAAATAGATACAGCCCTTATAAATATATATTATATTTTATTATACACAGCCCTTATTCTGGTTCTATCATTCTTGTCATTCCAGTTGCTGGAATAAAAGCACCATCTGTCCTAATTATGCAATGGATTCCATGCATTTGTAATGGGGGGGGGGCGAGTAGGTTGATCCATTGCACTCCTTTCTCAGTCTCCTACCTTTTCCTTTAATGAGCATTTAAGCAGGATTCTTAATTTCCTGGAACATAGGAAAATATAGTCTTTTATCGAGTCAAAGCATTGGTTAAGAATTGTTTGCATTAATAGCAAAGTTTCTCCAGGGCTTCAGATAGTTAGGAATCTTTCCTAACTCAACTTGAAGATGCCAGGGATTGAATTTGTGACACTTCACATTTAGAGTGAGTGATCTGTCACAAAGCAATGGCCCTTCATAAGAGAATTTACCTATTCCTGTATTGTAGAGCAACAATGGAAAGGTTCTTTCACAGAGAAAAGACTGGATCTTCCTTTGATGTTTGTATTTGTACTTTCTACAGATTTTCATTCCCTAAATCAGTGACCCCCTGATGACACCAAATTGATATCAGTGTTTGTACCAAGATTACTCTGCATTGTCCCACTTCAGTGCATTGTTATAAGTAAATTTTTCAGAAGAATCCTTAATAAATGTTAGTTCAAAGATTTAATCTCCAATTTCCCTGATACATTCCTAGTTGTGCATTCAAAGTACAATTTATTATTGCAAGGAAATACGATCAATATACTACTAAAACTCTTGTGTCTGTAACCTTTGGCTGGGCAAAACAGTGCATCATAGGGCAAAACTTTTCAACCAAGGTACCTTAAATGGACTATCTTACAAAATATCCAGGATCCTCATGACCTTGACATTTAGCAAATTTAAAAAAAAGATTTTACGACATAAAAATATAAAACATTTTGTGACATAGTAAAAATGTCATAAACCTTTCCTGTGGTCAACTCTTGATGTTTTACTGTGCTATACAATTCAGTGTAGGCTACTTTCAAGGCAGATACATCTCTGAATATACCTCTCTGAATTTTGAAGAACTTTTCAAGTACTTTAGAAGCTCTGACATTTTTGAAGGCATTGAGGAATCTGGTAAGGAAATACCGTTGAACCAATGTCCCAGCAATGATGAGGAAGGCATAAATGCAGAAGCTTCTTGGATAACATGTGAGACATCACTTATGAGAAGTGATATAGTTCCCATACATGCCTTCAGTAATTTCTGTACCATTTATAATTGGTGTTTAGAAAGTTACATATGATTGCAACATTAGGAATGGTGCGTATTGCTGAATTCCTTTTACTCTGGTCCAGAAGTAAATTTAGACAGTTTAAATAATGAGTGATGAACAAATCATGTAGAAATGTAATTTGGTATGTATACATCACACATTTATAGACTTGGTGGAACTTATGTGTAAATATCAGAATATTATCGGAATGATGAGGAATGATGAAGTCTATCGGAATGATGAGGAATGATGAAGACGATGTATTACTGATAACTTAAGACCAAGCTCAGATTTTCACAATACAGAATCCTTTTGGAGCTTTTTTTGTTTACAGTCATGCACATTCATCCATTCAGCTTTAGCTTATCTTTAGGATTTGCCTTAAATCTCTACCCTGCTAAACTGTATACTGACTGACAAAAGAACATCAGTCTATTTGATTCTAGGTCAAGACCAGGAAGCACCATGTCAGTTTTGCTTCAATTACCTATTAATAAAATTCCAACACAGATCTTTGTCCACACATCCTGGATGGGGAAGCTCCTTATCAGTATCTCAGACCTTGATACCAGTTTCTGTTATGGGTCAGCCGTCCTTTCTGTACACACACTGGTACATACGCATATATACTTAGAGAAATTCTATGAAATAAATTGGGATGGTCATGAGAACAGAATAGTCTCAAGTGCACTCATGAAATGCTTATTTATGCATTAATGTTTCACTTCGGGGATTCTGTTGTGGAACGTACCATGCAGTAGAAGCACATTTGAATTTATTCTGGAGAACGCATAATGCTACTCACTTTCTATCTTAGGAATGTATCCTTTCGGGTATCATGTCTGTGAATGGCAAGAAGGTGCTGCATATGGACCGGAATCCATATTATGGGGGTGAGAGCTCATCAATTACTCCCCTGGAGGAGGTGAGGATCCAGTTTCTGCATGTGCATACAGGTAGTCCTCAACTTATAACCACATTTGGGACCAGAACTGTTGCTAAGTGACACAGTCATTAAAATTTACGCCCAGTTTATGACTTTTTTGCTGCAGACATTAAACAAATTATATGGCCATTAAGCAAATCCAGTTTTCTCTATTAACAGAATCCTTCTAGAAAGGTATCAAATGGCAATCACATGACCCCCCAGGACTTTGAAATACATGCTAATTGCCAAGCAGCTGAATTTTGATGACATATCTGCAAGGATGCTGCAATATTTGTAATGTGTGAGGATCAATTATAAGTCACTTTTTAATGCCTTTGTAATTTCAAATGGTTGCTAAATAAATGTCATAAGTTGAGAACTACCTGTATTTGTATTAAAAGTCGGTTGAACACAGAATATGCAAACTGCACATCACTGTTACTGGATTATTTTCAGTAGACAGGGTACTGAATTCATGCAAGAGAACCAGAACTTCCTCAAAAAAAAATCAGTTATTTTCCTTGTATCCTTTTTATTCCTGCTTAGATGTCCTAAGCATATCCAAAGCTTTTCACAATCTATCTTCTTAGTTCTATGTTGGAAAATAAAAGGAAATTACATTGCCCATTTTCTGTGATGTGATCTAGATGCTACAGCAAAAAAGTTTGAATGCCACACGTGGTCTAGAATTTGTTCCTTCTTTATAGGCTGTGCTTGGACAACACATTGAACCACAGCAGTTAAACATCTTGCAGTTCTGTTTGCACAAAATTTGGCACTTGAATAATACAATGTGGCTTAGCACAAACTTACTGGATTAATGTATGGTTCATTATATTGCAGGAAGCCAGGCAAATATTCAGGTAATGGAATGGTATCTATGGACATTCCTATAACGTTTAGAAATTTCCAAACAATTACTTTCAATAGCTGGTATGCATCGAAATGTAAATGCAATGGGTACCCTCACCCACCTACAAGTAGTAGTTGTAAGCCCCTGGTTGCAAAGTTATGAAAGTAATCTAGTTTTAAAAAACCCTATGCATTCCCCCTTCCCCATAGTAACAATGTTATTTACTTAAGCTTCTTCCCCCCAAATCATATGCCAGCTTACAACACAAAAAGGTGAAATTTATCTTTGTGTGTGCCAGTTTTCCTTCTAAAATGGTATATGTAGGGAGAGGTATTTTTGCACTAAGAAACTTGGAAAGTAACGGGTCACAATAAAATAAGTTTGGGGTAATGAAGCTCTAATATCTATCATGGAAACTCCTGTTAGAGAATTGACAAACCTTTTTGCTCTTCTGCTCCAAAAGAAGTAACAAGCAGTCTGTGGTGAATAAAACTGAGCTACAGCTCCTTTCTATATTTTGATGGCATTGATATACAGTGGTACCTTGGTGTACTCAATTGCTTTGAAATTCATTTAGTTTCATACTTAATGCATTTTGACTCAAAAATTTTGTAAAATTTTCCAGTACTCGTCATTTGTTTGGTAGTCAATGCACCAACTAGAACTTTGTGTCAACTGCCTTGTGATTTGCTACATGATTCTTTATGGGAAAAATGTGTATGGTACTCATTGCACCTACCATAATAAATGAACAATGAGTACCGAGGTACTACTGTATTGTGTTATGCTAGTATTTTTTTTCTTCCATTAAATTGTGTTCAATTCTCGGGATCTGCTTGGACAAATCCCTGAAGTTTTCAAGACAAGGTTATTCAGAAATGGTTTGCCAATGCTTCCCTACCAGAGGTAAGAGGGCCAAGGATACCTAGGTAGCTTTATGCCTAAGACAAGACTAAAACTCTCTCTCCCAATTTTTAGCTTTGATGCCTTGACCACTATAAAAGCTTGCTCTCTTATGCTAGTAGAGCAAGTTCCAATGGAAATGTCTCTTGTAAGTACAATATTTTGAAGCTTATTTTGTCCTTTCCACAATTGCCAGCTTTACAAACGCTTCGAAATTACAGAGGGGCCGTCTGAATGCATGGGCCGTGGCAGGGACTGGAATGTTGATCTTATCCCCAAATTCCTCATGGCCAATGGTAAGTCCCATTCTGTTTAGATGTTTTGGTCACCTAGCCAGATATACGGTGTATTTTCCTTGTAGATGAATAGGAATGAAGGAAAAAAGGACATTAATACGAGAGAATCCACATTATTTTAAGTCACTGGGAATATATGCTGCTGAAGCACTGGGACATGTACTGTATGCTGCTGAAGAATGCCAGGACTTTTGGCATTTTGTTGGATTTACACGAATGAATAAATGTGCATACTCAGCTTATCAGCCCTTGGAGCTTTGTCCTTTATACTCATAGCTCAACTCAGTTTCCATGTGCACCTCCAAGTTTTTTATTTCTTCATTTGCAATTTCTTTGCATTCAGTGAGTGGTACTTATTTATTATAAATTATTTGAGTTCTGCCTACTTCTACAATCTCCTGCATGCAGTGTGGGAGCTCTAATGGAGGCAGGTGTAAGAGTTTCAGGAATCTCTTTTTATCATTTTCCATATAGGCCAGCTTGTGAAGATGTTGCTGTATACAGAGGTGACACGCTACCTTGATTTCAAAGTGGTGGAGGGCAGCTTTGTCTACAAGGCAGGAAAGATTTACAAAATGCCATCGACAGAGTCAGAAGCACTAGCTTCCAGTAAGTGAAGCTACTTTCATAAATGCTAAATCTGGTGTGTTTGAAATGATAGGAAACTTCAGTTGCGTGTTTATTAGCATTCATCATTTTAAGAGGTATATTCTATTTTATGCATTCTGTTTTACAATTTATTAATAGACCTACATTGTTTAAAAAGATAAAGCAGCTGCCAAAGTACTATCAGATTTATTCTGAAATGGTTCCAACCAGTACAGTATATAATGGCATCAGCAAAATTCTAGAGTGATATAGATAACCAAAGCATACCTTTTTCTCTTGAATAAATTTTTTTTAGTTTGAATCTGCAAAAGGTCAATTGTGGAGAAATAGGTGGTCTCCACCCATTTTCTTTCTTTGTTCCCAAATCAGTGGAATGGACATACCTGCTTGGAAGGTAAAATCTATACCTATATTTTATATGAGGAATGATTAGTCCAAATGTTAGAGCTAACAGGTTGTAAGGAAGCATGGTTATAACTGAGCTTTGCCAGACAGCTTTCTCTACAGATGATACTTGGATCTTTTTAATAATGTTTTTACAATCCCTTGCAGCATAAATTTTGCAGATTTATATATTTATATGGGCCATAATTGCCTTCCTGACTATAAATCCTTTTGCCATATTTCAAGTATTGAGATTGTGGAGTTCTGATGCTACTCTTCATATGTGTACAGATTCAAAAACATGGTTCTGATATTCCATAATCCACCTTCAAGATTGAAGGAGGAAGAGAGGCTTTCTGTCTTCCTTTGAAGATGGTGCATTTGCATTATCTTCTTATAACTATAACTTTGTTGTGTGTATCTTACAATTTATATTAATTCTTTTATTTAGTATCCTGATATGATTTATGTTGATTGCTTATTTACTATCCTATGACTATCAATGAGTGTTGTATCTTACGATTTATGGTGATTCTATTATAATCATGATTTATCACTTGTTGCTTTCCTTGTGTGTCCAATCACGCTTGGCCAATGAAGAATTGTGTTCTGTTCCTGTTCTACTCTACTCTACTCTACTCTACTCTACTCTACTCTACTCTACTCAATTCACTAGTCAGAGCAAATTCTAGGGCTGTAAAAGTTCTATTTAGCTCTTTAACCTGCTATGGACCATCCCTCCTCTAACCGTCATTCTTTCACAGATCTCATGGGCATGTTTGAGAAACGACGCTTCCGCAAGTTCTTGGTGTTTGTGGCAAACTTTGATGAGAATGATTCAAAGACCTTGGAGGGAGTGGATCCTCACGTCACTACCATGCGCGAAGTCTACCGACGCTTTGACCTTAGTCAGGATGTCATTGATTTCACAGGACATGCACTGGCTCTCTACCGCACTGATGAGTGAGTGATTGACCATAGCTTGCCTTTCTGCAATTGGTGAACTATCTTCATGCCTCTTTATTTCTGATCATACACTGCACTAATTATGGTCCCACACTTCTAGTAAACATTTCTTCGGGGAATGGCTGGGTCAGCTGAAAGTAAACTAGGGGTTCACTTAAGGCTTTTCAGGAGAGAGTTTATAGAAAAGTCCTCCAAAATTCTTTTTTTTTCTCTTTCTTTCAGTTTCTTTAATCATTAATGTCTGAGAAGATCCCAGTATTTCTTTGTTTATTAAATTTTTATGCCACCCATCTCATGGATACCAGGTGATTAAAATATGCCAGGTAATAATAAATACAGCATCAATACAATAACCATAAACACATCAGTGTGTAAAGCAGTCCATAACCACTGGGAACTCATGATTTTCCTATAATAACACACTTCACACTTTCCTCAGGAAGCCCCTTATTTCCCTCTTTTCTTTGGGAAGAAATGACATTGTCTGTCCTCTCTTTTCACAGTTATTTGGATCAACCTTGCTTGGAAACCATCAATCGCATAAAACTGTACAGTGAATCCCTGGCCCGTTATGGGAAGAGCCCCTATCTCTACCCACTGTATGGCCTGGGTGAGCTTCCCCAGGGCTTTGCCAGGTACGGTCCACCTCACAGATAGTCAACAATATGAAGCAGCGTTTGCTTCTGATTTTATTCTTGGCCTAGAAGGTAAATGCCTGTGGAGATTATCAATCATCCAGGCTATGTTTGTCCCAAGAGTGCTTTTCCAACAGGCAACTGGACTTTCTTGGTTACGCTTGTTGGAAAAGCACCTTTGGGAGTAGAAGATCAGATACCGTATTTGCCGGCGTATAAGACGACTTTTTTGCCCTGAAAAACATGCCTCCAAGTGGGGGGGTCGTCTTATACGCCGGGAGGACTCCGACTCCCACTTCGAGCTTGAGTTGCAGCCGGGAGGGAGGCTGGGGGGGGGAGCGGGGTGTGTGTGTGTGTGTGTGTGTGTGTGTGGCGGGTGTCACTCGCCACGCGCTGCGCAACCTTTCCCCCTCTTCCTTCCTTAGCGGTGTGGGGAGGAGAGGATTCGAAGATCCTCACGTGCAGCGTACTTTTCTTTTTCTTTTTTTCTTTTTGCACGCAGGTTTTGCATGCGGGCGGCTGTAGGTTAAGGATGGGGGAGCCCCCGGGTGGGTTATCAGGTTTTACGGTGCTTCCAACATGTGTGAACGGTGGGAGAGCGCTGTGTGAAATCCTGCCGTCAAAGCAACACTGGGGGAGGCAGGGTATAAATTTACCAGGTTAATGTAGCAATGGTGATTAATGCCCAGAACATTGTTTGCGGGTATTGGGGTGTGTGTGTGTGTGTGGTGGTGGTGAGGAGAGGTTGTCCTTTGAATGCGGAAAAGTAGGTGTGACCTTGTGTAGGAAAATAAAGAGATCCTTTTTAGCGTGTTTGGCTTCTTTGCCTCCCCTCGTTCGTTTTGACGTGGAGATAATGGCCTTCAGGCGGGAGGGGAAGAAAACGGTAGCTGGATCATTTCAAATTTCACTTACTCTCCTGCCTCACTTCAATATGTCTGAGCGACTCCAGATACTGGAAGACTTTTTGAATGAAAGTGTTACCTCCATTTTTTTTTTAAAGAGGGCCACTTGGGGAAAAAAAAAGATTCTAAGGAATTCCTTGTTTCTTGATTAAAGAGAAGGCATTGAATATACTGTTCCTTGGCAGCCTTTTCAGTGTCCGGGTTTTTAGTGTGTGTGTGTGTGAGAGAGAGAGAGAGAGATCAGCTGTATTGAGAAGAGAACGTTTCCTGTGTTCTCATTTTATTTACAACATATTTTACGCTTAATGGTAAGCAATGAAAAATATTTTTAAAACTCATTTCTAAACTCCATAGCTATTTGCATATTCTTGGTTCAAAATTGGATTAGCTCATTTCAAAATTGTCCAAAGCAGAAAAGTGCGTCAAAAAAAAAAAAGTGCAAAAGTGGAAGGTGTGTGGAAGAGGGGGTAGTCTTATACGGCGAGTATATAACAAACTCTATATTTTGAGTGGAAATGTTGGGGGGTCGTCTTATACGCCCAGTCGTCTTATACGCCGGCAAATACGGTACATTAAAAAGAAAAAGGCATTTTATATCAATATTTTTCTAGCCTGGCACTTTCAAAATATGTTTGGATTTCAGTACCTTGAATTCTCAGTGAGCATAGCTTTACTGTTCCTGTACACTTGAAAGATTCGAGAAAGTTGATTTAATTTTACATGAGGAGGAGAAGCTAAATTCTGCAGAAAAAGCAATAAAGTTCCATAGTATGATACTTAAGATAAATGAGACAGGGAAAATAATTCTTGCATGTCTTTGGCACAGCCCAGCTGTATAGTTACAGCTATTTGGCAAAATGTGCCTTTGGGGGCAGGGGTGGTGGATGTTAATGGTCTGGCCAGTGCCCTTCACCATTCATTCACTTCATACCCCCAGGCTCAGCGCTATCTATGGTGGCACCTACATGCTCAACAAACCAGTGGATGAGATTGTCATGGAAGGTGGCAAGGTCATTGGAGTCAAATCGGAAGGAGAGGTGAGTTTGGTTAAGGGCCATAAAGTTGCTGCTAAGGTTGATTATATAGGGAAGACTGTTCCTGAAATAGAATGTCTTTGAAAATTAGTCTTAATGATACAACTTACCATATTTCTTGCACTATAATGCGTCTTTTTGAGTGAATATTGCCGAAGCGTCGTCACCCCCCACCCTTCGGCCTCTGCCTCCCAGCAATTTACAATTTTTGCTGCCTCCTTGCAGCAAACAGCCTGGTCAGCTTCAGCACAGCCTGATTTAGCATGAGCAGCTGATCGGCAGTTGGATTGGCCTTCCGGAATACCGCCAATCAGCTATTCCAGGCTGCGGGGATCCCCACCACTTCTGTGCACCACATTTTCAGCCTCCGTACATCCCGTTTTCAGCCTCTTGGAATGGGCCAAAAACAGGATGCGTGGAGTCCAAAAATGGGGCGCACAGTGATTGGCGTCGGCGATAGGCGTCACCTTCAAGGATGGGCGGCAGCGATCCCCACAGCCTGGAACAGCTGATCGGTGGTATTCTGGGAGGCCAATCAGCTGCTGGGCTGACTGAAGCTGACCAGGCTGTTTGCTGCAAGGAGGCAAATTGCTGGGTGGCAAAGGCAGATATTTTTTTTTCGTCTTTTTCTCCCCAAAAGCTAGGTACATCTTATGGTCTGGAGCAAGGCTTGCCAACCTTTTCGACCTTGGGGGACCACCAAACTCCTAATTTTAAATCACGAGGACCACTTATATGAATTTTTTAAAAAAGATAATATATTTAATATAAAAAAATTATTTTTTATATTAAATATGAATTTAATATTAAAAATATTTTTTATTTATATATATACATACACACACACACACACACACAAATGCTTATTTAATTATAACAAAATTGTGAATGCTTAATCATAACTGGGACAGAGCGAAGGGAAAGGAGGGGCCTCTCTCATCCTTTGGGGGGGGGGGGAGGAGGGAGGATGTAAGAAGCCAGGTGATGCCTGGAGGCTGGGAAGATCTGGACGGGGAGGAACCGGCTTCCCCTTCAAACAGAGGAAAAGCAGAGCCATCTCATATCTCCCCCAAGTCAGAGGAAACCTCTCCCTCCTTTGCCAGGTGTGGCTGCCTGGAGTTAGTTGGGGGAGGGAAGGAAGGCCGGGCTGGAAACACAGACGGGCTCCTAATAACCAGGCAACACCCCACCCCCAGCCTCCACATAAGAAGAGGACTCCCCGAGGCTAAGCTCCAGGTTTCTCCTGTTGCTTCCAAGCAGAGAAGGATCCCTCCCTGTGTGGAGGCTGAAGGTGGGGGGGGTGTCGAGTCCAGAAAAGCTGGAGCTCTTGCCTGCACAAACTGGCTGGTTATTAGGAGCCCGTCTTCCTCAGCGCTCTTTTGGTCTGGGCATTTGGTCTCTCCCCCCCCCCCCCCCCCCCCATGCCAAAGGCACGCCCCCCCCGCCCCTCCTCCCCTCCCTCCTTTCCCCCCCACTCAATCTTACTTCGGGACAGAGGAGAGCGCGCTGGAAACGTGTGTTAGCTTTTCCAACACGCCTTTCTCTGGCGCTCGCTCGCAATTCTTCACGTTCGTCCAGGCCTGGCTTGCTGAGAGGCAAGAGCAGCCATGACATCTCTGCTGCGTGCCCCCCCCCCGCCCCGCCTGCCCCCACCCCCAGAAAAGCAAGCAAGCATAACAGATCTCGCTGGGGTGAAAGAGCAGAGATCGGAAGGCACAGGCAACAGAAAGCAGCAGTTTCTATCTTCTCTTGCCTGTGCCTTCCTCGATCTCAGCTCTTTTGCCTCAGCAAGAGCTATGTTTCTGCTCGCTTGTCCTGTGCTTTCTCATAGGGCCATGGGGGGGGGGGCAGCAGAGCAGAGTGCCGAGAGGCATGAGGAAACTGATGCCGACGCCCCATTCTGGACCTCAGAACTGGATGGTGAGCACAGACTTGCCCACTCCGCCTTCTCCCACTACCACCAGCCTGTACTTTCCCTGCCCTGGGCCGTCCCTACAGCCCATGGCCATCGAGGAAGAGCACAGGCCAGGAGAGGCAAACTGGAAGGTGCGGGAGTGCCATGCAAATGCAAGTAGCGCGGCATTCCTGCACCTTCCGGCCATCTCTATTGCCGCTTCAGCCCGCCTCTGCCACCAGCCCCCTCTTGCTGCAACAGCACCATTACCTCGTCCTGCCTGGTGAGGGCTGCGCTGCTTTTTGCAGGTTTGCACTCAGCCGAAGGGTGGGAGCCAGCGGGTGGGCGGGCTTTGGGGGGGGTGCTTTGGGAGGACATTTCTCTGCGGCCCACCAAAATTTTCTCACAGCCCACCAGTGGCCCATGGCCCACCAGTTGGCGACCACTTGTCTGGAGCATCTTATAGTGCAAAAAATATGGTAAGTACTTTCTGTTTTAAGAACTTCAAGATTGTTTTTGCTACCTAACTCCATTTAGAGACTACTCTTTCTCATTAAAGCCCATCATGTTAATCTTAAACTGGTCCATATTGGCTGATAGCAGTGACTGGGAGCAGTTGGAATGGGGAATTCTCCTTTCTTGGATCTCATTTGTGACAATAAAATCAGGCCTGAGTATTTAATAAAGAATTGTGGAAAATATATCTTTACGCTCAGATATTTAGTTTCAATGCTAGTGCTTTCATTTTTCTACCCTACGCCCTTTTCGGTGCATTATTGAGGAAGTTGGGGTTTCTTTTGCTATTTATTGCATTTCATGTATCTTTCCATGCCAAGTCACTCAATAAAACATGGACGGTACAAAGTCTAGAAGAGCAGAACTTTCATAAGATTGCTGATAATAGAATCTCAGTGAAAACTTCTGCATGCTCAATGAAAGCATCCATGGAGTATGGGTCCAAATCAGTTATTAACCAGATGGAATTCAGAAAGTTACGGGTTTCTGCTGACCGTTAACACAGAGCTGTAAAACCGCATCTGCTTCTTGGCTTCCCTAAGCCTCAAGCAAGAGGAAAGGAGATATCATTTTACTTCACCATTTTTCCCCACAGGCTTTGAATTTGTAAAAGCATGAGGTATTTTTAGAACAAGGGAACTTCCTTGTCAGTGCTCTGTTTTCTTGAACGTTTCCTAACAATTAGCTTTATGGCTAGTTTCTTTTTTCCATTGTACCAGGCAGTGCACCAGACCAAGCATAGCTGGGGTCCTGAAAGCCATACTGAAGCTGGTATACGTGGTCTTTCCTCAACCTTCAAATTAAAGGGGAGGAAAAATCTGGCCATTTTTTTAAATTCAGCCTTTTGACTCAACATTGACATCCATTGGTAAGCATATGCTGGCCCTTGGAAACATGAAGAAGATAGTGATAGGATTCCTGATTTAGCACCGTTGACAATCCTCCTTTCTTGTTGCTGTTGGCTTTTGTTCCTGCTTCCTTGAGTTAAGCTTGCTGGGAGAAAAAGACTGGGGGTGTTGGAGAAAGTTTGGTGTCGGTAGTGAAGCTGAGGTCTCCCCTACAAGTGTTTCTGCCTTCGTTGCAAAAGCTACAGAAGCCCTCTTCTGGTTTCTTAATATTCATTTTCTTGTGCTATTCCTAACTAAATTACTTTCATTCAGTCGTTCTCACATAAGTCATTTAATCCTGACTGAAAGCTGATCTAGTTGAAAAGGATTGAAACATTAAAAACCTCACCCAAAAGGAGTGGATCAGATGAAAATATAAGAGTTTTAAAACATTTTTTTAAAATCCTCAAATAGTCAACATCAGTTATGTTTCCAGCAGGTTTTGCTTTTTCCCCTCAATAAATACTACAGCTCGTCCATGTCAAACATTTTAGTAGCCATGAAAATACACATAGTATCAAGGTCAATTTGCATGCAGTTGTGTGAGGATATAGTATTTCGTCTACACTGCTAAAAAATGAATGTCTGAATTAAACATTCAGAATTTGGCATTTAAGTCCACTTTCTTCAACCTGACATCCTCCAAATGTGTTGGTAGAGTTCTCAGCCTCGGTATTTCTAGAGAGCACTGTGTTGGAAGAAGGCTAGGAGTTCAAGTGCATGGAAGAACTGGTGAATCTAACGTTTTCCGTTTGCTAATTCTGATTCTCCAGGTGGCACGCTGCAAACAGTTGATCTGTGATCCCAGCTATGTGAAAGATCGAGTGCGCCCAGCAGGGAAGGTTGTGCGCGTCATCTGTATTCTGAGCCACCCTATCCGTGGCACCAGTGATGCTAATTCCTGTCAAATCATCATTCCCCAAAATCAAGTGGGACGCAAATCTGGTGAGGCCATATTGATATGGGAGTTCAGAGATATGGGAGTATTGAATATACTATGCTTTGGGCTACTTCTGCAAAATGGAGTATCACGCATCTAGTACCTTCTTATGACCTTTAATTACACAGCAACTATGTGAAATAGGCTTAATAAAGGTGGGAATCCATATATTTACTTTAGGGATATAAAAAGGGGTTTTTTTTTGTACCAAGCCGATGGGCTCATCCATCTAATTTCACATTGTCTACTACACACTGACTGACAGCAGTTCCTCGGAGTTTCAGATCAGTATGATGACCCAGGGCGTGGCACAAAAATAACAAAGGCACAAAAGTAGATAAATTCCCTTTAATACCTCCAACTTGGCCCCCAATGTCCAGTTATCTTCGGCTGGAGATCAAACTCTTCCAAAAACAGTCTACAAGGGAAGAAATACAGTCCAAACCCAAAGTACAGATAAATTAGAAATAAAGAAAAACCAGTATAAACCACGCTGAAGTACAGGCCAGGAAAATAAATTGCAGACTTACAAAAGATAACGAAGCACACACAGTTGGGAGGACGCCAAAACCCAGATAAGCCTCGACAAAGATAATGCATGCTTTGCTTCCAGCAAGGTGCTGTGTGCAAACACCCTTCTTATATCCTGTTCTCCCAGCTGCAACTAATGAAAAGGATCAGGGCCTTTTTCTCTCCCGTAAGCCAAGTTGCTCCCTTCTCCAGTCCTCCCTGCGTGTCCTAGGATGAAGAGGGGGTGGCCCTGGGTCTTACTCTGAATGCCCAGCCGGACTGTGCCCTTCCCCCATTTCTTCCGAGGCCACACTCCTACTGCCTGTCAGCTGCTCAATCTTCCCCTCAGAATCAGACTCCAACAAGGGCATGATAATTGGCTTCTGGATATAGTGGGTGGGATAGATTTGGGTGAATTCAACAATCCTAACTTCATCCAAAGACCAATGAAGGAATCATGACAACAGGATTTTGGGGGGCGGGGGGAGAAAACAAAAATTAAGAAACAATCCTAACTTCTACTCTTCATTCCCCAATCCCAGATATCTATGTCTGCCTCATTTCCTCTGCCCACAATGTGGCTGCCCAGGGCAAGTACATCGCTATTGCCAGTACTACTGTAGAGACAGATTCTCCTGAGAATGAAGTGCAGCCAGCTCTTGAACTCCTTGAACCTATTGACCAAAAGTGAGTGATTCTGGGTTGATTGTGCTGACAGTTGGTCCAGTGCTACAACTTGGGACTATTTTCTAACACTGTTGACAATCCACAGCCTTGAAGATAACATGTACTGTATATAGGAGTAAGGTGAGAGAAGAACACTGGGGCACAGCTGCAATTTATTAAAGGTTGCTAAACATGGACATTCCTGAGAGATGCTTTCCAGCTCTGCTTAAGAATGAAAGCCTAAGGAAAAGAGCTGCAAATTTTTAGAATATAATGAGCAGTAGTAAAAGAAGAAATGAGTGAGTCTCATGATCAGCAGCCAGATGTGGTGGGCCTGTAATTTTACCATTTTAGATGGTTCCATCCAGGGAAGAACATTACACATGGCAGAAAGAAAGGATGTAGTTTAATTCATCAACCTTGCACGGTAATTTCCTGTGAGTGGGACATTGCCTTGTATGAATCCTACAGACTGCCGAATACTGGATTTTTGGAAGAGAAAAATAATTTAACCAAAAAGTGGATGATGGCATAATAAATATCAAGTGCAAGATGATATATAGATTACAAAAATAGGTCTATATCAGGTCCCGGAATGGCTAGAAGAATGACAGAAGTTCTGATGGATATTGTGAGGTATGATAGCGGTAGTGCAACTTGGGCTGGAAAAACATTTGAAGCTAAAGGCTCAAAAATGGTTTGAAAAAAAGAATCATGCCGATGAGTGGCCAATGATTGTGGTTGGCTGGTTTCTGCATCTGTAAATTATATTGGTGTGATTAGAATCAGGAGTAGGAACATAAATGTGTCCATACCAACTTGTTCCATTGGTTTTCTACTACATTAGTTGAAATGGTTTTAAACACTTTTCTTTCCTTCCCAGGTTTGTGGCCATCAGTGATATATATGAACCCACTGATGATGGAACTGAAAGCCAGGTGAGATTTCTCAGGCTTTCTGAATTTTTTTAGAGTGTATTTTTCCAGAACTGGTTCTGGATCATGCCTTTTTTTCCCCTTTCCCCATTGACTCCAGTCTGTGAACTTGTATCTTGTTTCCCTGTTTTCCCCTTGCAGATATTCTGTTCACGATCGTATGATGCCACAACCCACTTTGAGACAACATGTGATGACATCAAAGACATTTACCGGCGCATGGCTGGGGCTCCATTTGATTTTGAAAGCATGAAACGGCGCCAGAATGATGTCTTTGGCGAGAATGAGCAGTGACCATTTCCTTCTTCCCCTGAACCCCATCCTCCCTGGGTTTTTCCCATGTAAGGGACCACACTCCCAGCTAGGGACTGGCTTAATTCCCACACCTCACTGAGATTGGCTCTTCCTCCAGATCCTCATTCAGGCTACGCCAGATGTCTAGTAACTTACTTCCATGGGGAAAATGTAGAATATTTTTCCTCTTTTCCCCTCTGATGGTGTTTTTTGTTTTTTTTTTGCATACAACAAGATAACCCTTTCTCCAGGACTGAGGTTGGATCAAGTTAATGCAATCTCAGTCCTCTGAAGACTAGCCTCTTTTCAGTTTTTCCAGTGCCTGAAGGGATTTGGGTCCAGATTATGTATTATATACAGTTGCCTGGAATTGAGTTCTGCCCCCTCTTAGGAAAAAGCACCTTTGGAGACAGAAAATTCTGCCTACTTTTCTGTTCTTTCCTCTCACTAGTGTTCTTTCTCCCTGTGGTTTCCATGAATATAATAAGGAAAGGCAGAATTAAGTACATCTAATTTTCATTGTAGGCTGCTCCATCATCAGTCTATTCTGAGGAAAAGAAAAACAGCCACTGGATTTTAGAAGCATGCATGTAACATATATTTTGGCCTTAATTCTTGCTATTGATCTCCAACTGTTACCATCTGCTCACCTTTCTTTAGTTTCCCCCTGTTTCCCCCCTCATTTGCTGGATGTTCTCATCTCTGCCATCTGTGCCCCTCTTAACTCCTCTGAGCCTCCCATTTTTCCCTTCCTGTGTATAGTGAATCGATTTGCTGCTTAACTTGCAAAGGACCATCTGGGACCATATCTTGCCATATGTATAATCAGTCTTTCCTCATTTTCCCATTTCTCCTGATCATGATGTGAAGCTGCATTCCTCTGTTTTGAGAGGAGACTGGAATTGTGTGAGGATGTGGGGGCACAAAGAGCCATTCTGAACCATCTCTTCTATACATGCTGCCCTTGCAGCTGGTCCCATGTCCCCCACCTTGCACTTGAGATTCCCACAGGCCTCTTCTGTCTTGCATCCATTTTGTCCCCTCAATTCCTTTTAATTTCTTTAGCCTCAAGTGTGAGAAGATTTGTATTTGTATGTGTGTATGTCTCTCTTGTGTGCTGGATATGGGGACAAGGAGACAATTCTGTTCCTTTCCACTTGCTGCCACCTGCTGTAACTTATTGTAACTTATTAATGAAGCAGGTTAATTATTTGTTGGCACTTCTGACAATTAATGAGGTTTGGGTGGGGGTTAGGCTGTGGAATGAGTACAGGGCCCTGGGGCCTGTCCTGCATTAGAGCCTTCCTTCCTTCTGAAGCCAGATTTATGGTTAATGATCTGTCTGTAACTCTAGGGGAATGTGAGGGGTCAGCTCTCTCCACCCCACAACTGCTCAGTTGTCTCAAGATAATAAATTCACTTAGTCTAGCCCTGGCTCTTGTCTGGTACCATTGCTGCAGAGGAGGGGTGGGGTGGGGGACCAGGGGAGTAAAATCCAGGCTTAACTCACACTAGTGAGAGGAAAGAGACAACATTGAATTCAGGAAATGGAAACAAGATTTTTTTTAAAATCAGAGGAGCACTTCAATTTGGTTATGTACTTTTTCTGAAGGAGTGGCAGTATAATATCCAGAGAGTTTTGAATGATAAAAATGTACTATTTTGCATAGCTGATTCTAGTTTCAGACTGTCAGATAATGTGAAGTCTTGAGGCAAGGAAGTGATGCTAAGTAAGAACAAGACAGCATAGGAGTCTACAGATTTGTATAGCCAGATCTCCTCTCATTTTCCGTACACCAAACTTGAAAATTGTGCTTTGAACCCAGCTGGCATAGAAAAATTGAAAGACTAGTCATACAGCATCCATTTTCTCAGTCCACATAAAACACCAAGAACCAAAAGCTTAAAAGGGGATTTGGAAAAAAAAAATCTCAATTCTATTTTGTATTGAATGCCTTCATGGTACTCTATATCTAATAAGACTATACTATGGTTGTATTAGTTGTGTTAATATCAAATTAGTACTGCCACTATTTCAACCATCCTATGTCTTTTAGCCTAGTTGATTTATATCTTTTTCCAAGTGTGTATGGAGGCAATTCTAGCGTTCCACCTGTGAATCAATACTGGAATATTAGTTCTTAATATTTTCTTTGCCTGATTCTCCTTTACAAATAGAATCTTGAAATTCTACTTTTCCTGCAGATCCCTCCTATAATTTTAAGCCCCTTTCCTATAATTATCCTTCCCTTCTCTAGCTATACAGTTGTAAAATCTGGATAGCAATTAATAAAATGACCAGGAAGGCATTTCAAGGTGTCTTCCACTGAATATCATTTTTTTTCATGAAAAAAAAACAGAGCTGAAGGAGACATATTTACTTTATAATGCATCTCTGTCTTGAAAGATGCTCTGTATTTATCAGCTAGATTTTTGTTCATCTGCCACAGTGCTTCTGCTATACATTTAAAAATGTGAAAAAGAAATCTCTTAAATCCAGCTTTAGTGATTACTTCAATTGCCGGTAAATTTAAATACTACCCTCTGAACGAACAACTGGCACAAAGATACCCACTGAGGTAAATCAGATTTTTTCAAATATTTAAAATGGCAACTTTCTATTGATCAATAAAAATGATGAATGTGTATCACTTCTGTATATATTAATTTGGCATCATGGGCAAGTTGACAAACAATTTCTATAAGCAATCAGTGCAAACTAAATTCAAATAATATAAAGGAAACCAGGAAACATCCTTCCCAACTGAGTTTGCAAATTATGACAACATACATCTCATTTAAGGGTCATGAGAATACATTCATCCATATTGCATACAATGATATGGGAAGAATATTCAAATGTCAGTCCAGCTTCCTTAAATTATTTTTCTTCATCCCTTTTGGCCAGGCCAATAAGTGGAGAGTTAAAACCATGATAATAGTACCTTTTTAAAAAGGAAAATTCAAACTACCATCACTGTTCATTTCTTCCACAGATACACTATATGGTAGCTTGTTTATTAATAAACGATTGGTTTGTTGACACCACCCAATTCACCAGGTTTGTGTATCCCGATAAACCATATTTAGTAAACATGACCTAACTTGTCAATTTGCACGCATGATCACAAAATGATTAAAAGGGGTGGTTTTTTGTAGCGCTTTTGAAACGCAGTTTTCCAGAAAGCGAGTGCCGCTGATTTCGCCCTTCTTAGCGGGATCGCTTTCAATAGCATAGTTTCACACAAAGGATTGCCAAGCTTCAAACCCAGAAAACACCCTTACATTATCGACTGGAGGGGAGGGCTTGTGAAAGCCGAGTTACCCAGGTATCCTGTACTGCCTAGATTCGGTTTCCTATCTTCACAGAAGGTGCGCTAGTTGAAAAATATTTGCCACGTTACTCCACAAGGCTTAATTATTATTCACATAATTATATGTGACGAAGCAGGGACTGGTCCCTGGGGAGGGCCAGCATTAACTTCACGAAAGAAAATGGAACAGGACCTCGTTTGCCAGTTAATTAAAAACAGCAGCCAAACTGGCACTTTCCCGATGTTTTAGTTTAGACTATCAACTTCTTATAACTTGATCGTGGTTGGCTGAGGTTTTTGAAGGTCTGGTCGATTTTGCTCAAAATCAACCCAAACCGATTTGGGGCACGTTCACTCGTTAATTCCCACGCCGCCTTGCAGCGGGGCGAGGAAACGAACCGCGACATGGAGAAACCAGCAATTTTATCTGCAATCCTAAAACCCAGTTATCTGGGAGTCGGTCCTATTTAATTTAATTCATTTAATTCCTAAACAGACAAGTATCGGGTTCTATAATAGGACTGTATTTGCACTTTCTCACAGGGAGGGAGAAGCGCAACCAGGGCAACGCTTCCACTGAGACTTCTATTTTATTTCTCCCTTTCTTTAGCATCTCTCTAGGAAGCTACGTCGCCGCCTCTTTGGATAGCAAAAGATTAATCGCACTCCTACGCAAATCACGCCTCTTTTCCGTCTTTGACTGACACTTCCGACTCCATAAGCCCGCCTCGGCAAATCTTATCATAGAGGTTGCCAAGGCTAGAACAACCTTCTCCCCTACCCCTTGGGCATTCGTAGGTAACGGCAACAAGCCGTTTCTACCGGAACTTCCGGCTGTGAATCGATAGAGTTTCCGAGTTTTGTGGCGATCGTGGGAAAATAGGAAGAGGAAGGTTGGAGTTCAGTTCGGTCCTGGTCCGTGCGAGTGACTTGGAACAAGCAGCTGGTGGGATTTGCGGTTAGAAGGTTTTTCTGAACATTTTTTTGGGGGTGGGTGGGGGTGGGTGGGAGAAATTCCACGGCATTTTGACCAGTCAAGAATCCCCCCCTTTTTCTTTCACCGTTTCTCATGCCAGACCCAGAAATCCCACATCACCTTGTCCTATATCTTCCCTTTGCTTTCCAGCCCTTGGATGTCTTTCTGTTATTAGGGGTGGTCTTCACGATTGCCATTGATGATCAGTGGTAGATCATCTGCTTTTACAGGCTTGATGCAGCGTCCATTAAAAGGATCATAAGGAGTAAGATGGGTTAGTTTCTGGAGAGCTGCTGCCTGTCAGAGAAGGCAGTAAATGTACAGCAGCTTCATGGATGTGTTTTGTCCCTCACAGGTTCCATCAGCCATCATGGCACAATACAAAGGAGCTGCCAGCGAGGCTGGCCGGGCCCTTCAGTTGATGAAGAAGAGAGAGAGGCAACGGGAGCATATGGAACAAATGAGGCAACGCATCGCTGAGGTGATGAGAAGTAGAAATCATCCAGAGATTGGTTTTTGAATACTTAAAAGGAGATCATGCTAAGGAACATGGGGTTGTTCCTTAGAAATAAGGGTTTGTTTGGAATCATTCTGGCAAAGGTGGAGGTTTTAAGAGAAGGAATGGGAGAGAATGTTCTTTTCCTTAGTCAAAAACAAGGGCAAGAGTTTCCACCGTTAATCATGAATATATTTCTAAAAAAGTGGGCATGTTTTTAAAAAGGAGACGCTTTTAGTATTTTTGCTTCGTTTTTCTATAATATGTGTAGGCTTCATGCAGAATTAAAAAAGCTAAAGAGAAGTGTTTTAAAAGCAAGTCGATACCCTACCAAATATTTGATGTCACATTCAAATAGTGAATGCAGGGAGTGCAGCTCATCACCAGGGTTTAAGTTGGTTGTTATATTTCTGATTTGAGTACAATATTTCTTCTAGAACATATCTCCTTCTTCAGACACTTAACCTTTCTTGACCTTAGAGCTGGAATGGAAACTCTTCTATGTTATTTATTTTTCTGTGAAGCAACTATGATTGAATGTTTATTCTTAATGTCACTTTAAGAAATTTCTTATCTTCCTAAACATCTTTTGTCACCTTTAAGAATATTTTATTCATAGTCCTCATAATATGAATATTGCTCTAATTTTCCTTTTTTATTTGAAAAATCATAAAAAAACATGATTTTTCAATCTGCCCAAGACATTTACCATTTTCAGATTTCTTTTCTCTAGCGGAACAAGCTTAAATTTTTCTGGTTATTGCACTGGTCATTTCATTGACTTTTTGAGAGAGAAAATTTGTCTCAAATGTACTCCTGAATAGACTACGCTTGCTCCATTTTCAGTAAAAATGAGAGATGTAAGACATTTCTTTAAAAACCCTGCAATGGATCCTTATTATTACCTTGCACATAAACTTACTATTTTGTGACTTGTGTCTTAAACATAAGTCTCCTAAGGCAGCAGAAGAATGTTTTTCAGGGTTTTGGGGAAAGAAATGACAAACTGAGGATCGCTTTGCTAAAAACAGAGCCAACGAACAGGGCAGATTGAAGAGCAGTGGGTAGACCTGCTCTTCATAATTCCTCTCTGGTAAGGGGAGGAATTGAGATTGCCCACAAGTGCCCCAGACAGTTGATCTTCATGAAAAACAACAACCTCAGGACAGTCTTCAGTGGGTTTAGAGCTTTGGGAGACAAGAGAATAGCCATCTTTTTGCTTAAACCATAGTGTGCCCACTGGGTTTGCATACTTTATTTTCTAACCATTTTTGAAAATGTGTTCTTAGTTGCATTTTAGCTATTAGGAATCCTTGGATTAACAAATTTTACAGCAGTGGATTGCTTTCCTTCAGCAAAACAAGTTTTAAACACAAGTTTAAGAACAAGTACTTAGAACTTTGATTTTGGAAAGTTACAATGGATCCAGATGGATTTGAAATAAGATCTTGGAATTAATTATAAAATTCCTTCCTGTGGGAAAAAGCTTTTGTTTTGAATTATCTTTAAAAAGTAGGATACAACTTTGAAGGTGGGACTCTAGAGAAGAAAATATAACTTTCAAACAGTGAGGATATTTGTGAACAAGGAATTCAGAAGTTATTTTTAAAAGTATCTGCCTCTATAGATAGACTGTATTTAGAAAATGTTATGAAAGAGGAACAAGTTTTACTGGAAAAACAGACTGATCTGAAAGTAGAGTTAAAAATGACAGGCTACAAGAATGATATGGAAAAAGATGCTACACTGGACATAAAAATGAAATTGACTGGTGTCTTA